AATTTCATAAAATTTCATCACTAATAAGATTTTTTCTTGTAGTGTAAATTTGTGGATGTTTCACCTCCCTACCTCATTATGAGTAGTGTAACTCACTTTTATATGCAGTTACTATTCATGCACATTTTATAAGGGGGCTACTGTTCATGGATATTGTTCATACGCGAGTTATTATTCAGTACTGTTCATGGGTAATGTTCATACGAGGTTTATACGTGGGGTTATTGTTCAGTATTAATATTCATGGGTACTGTCCATGATTACTGTTCATACGCGAGTTACTGTTCAATATTGTTCATGGTTACTGTTCATATGTGTTTTATACACCAAGGGATACTGTTCATGGTTACTGATCAGTATTGTTCATAAATAATGTTCCTACGAGGTTTATACACGGGGTTACTGTTCAGTATTGTTCATGGGTACTATTTATATGCGTAGTACTGTCCATGGTTACTGTTCATATGCGTACAACTTACACTGTAAGATTGATCATAACTGATACGACGAGATGCCAAAAAGGGTGGTCCATGAGTATTTCAATTATTATATAGACCATTAGATGTTTGACCCTATCAAAAAATTGACTTTTAGTTTATCGTATAATTTAAAAAATCTCAATATTAGGTTATATTTACAATTTTTTTCTTATAATTATTTTTTATTATTAAATTAAAATCAAATCACTTAATTTTAATTTAAAAAATCAATATTTTTTATTTAATATATTTTTTAATCGTTAACTTAATTTTATTTAATAACAAAGAAAATAATTACAAGAAGTTGTAAGAAAAGAAATTAAGATATGAATATAACTACCCTAGTTACTCTATAATTAATTTTTTTATAATCTCATCCAAACTTATCCATGCTATTTTGAGCATAAATCAAACGAGAAGATACAAGCTTCATGAACTAAAAGTAATTTATTAAAAAATAAAACTAATTAACTCATGTTGAGCTGGATCCACCTACTGATTGATAAATCGACGCGTTTCCGCGGAAGGAAAAGGAAAGTAAAATGAAGATGACCGCCTTTGTCTGTACGTCCTTTTATTTTAGGGGGCGTTTGTTTCAAGTTTTTGAAGAGGATTACCGGTAATCCTTCTTTGGTAAATGTAATTACCACGTTTGGTAGAAGGAATAAATTTCGATTCCCGGATATCCAAAGATTACCGGTAATTTGATTTATAAAGAAAAGTCACTATTCAAATTACCAAAAATAATATGGTAATTCGGAATACCAATCAGAATACCAAGTAAAGGGAAAGCACAATAATAAATTTTGAGACAAAAATACCCCAATACACATAAAAATCTAGACCCAATCTATCAATTACAAAAGTAAAAATAGTTTGGGGTTATTTTTGTAAAATAACCTCATATTCCAAGTCATATTTCGTTCTAAACCAAACATGGAATCAGTAATTTTTATCCAATATTCCCGGTAATATTTTGGCGAACCAAACACCTCTTTCGTAAGATTCCAAGTAAACTCAATTTCTACTGTATTCCCATTAATCATGATTCCCGGTCACCAAAAAATTTCTCTTGTACCAAACACACCCTTAGGGTGTTTTTGGTACAGGGTATTTGTGAATATTACTGGGAAAAGATGATTGGTAATCACAAAATGACATGTTTGGTACAAGGTAACTGAAATTGTTACCCAGATATCTTCATTTACCGGTATTTTTAATTACAAAGAAAAGTGTCATTTGCGATTAAAAAAAAAAGGTAGTATTTGACAAATCCTACTTCTACGGAAAATGGAAACGCAAATTTGAGACAAAAGTGCCCTCCAACACTCCACACAGATGTACAGTCCACCAACACAAAAATACCTCAACCTGAGACAAGATAGCAACTGAAAGGCCATGTTTAATAAAAACAAATACGAACACAGAGACCTCACCCTGTTGTCAATGCTATGGTATCGTCGTTGTTGTCTCTCTCACTACAAACAGTGCGCGCAACTCCACCATTTTTCCCTCTCGCTCAATTCCTTTTCATCAGAATGGGTAGCAAGTTTTTATCGTAGAAATAGCATTTGAAATACAAACTCTGCTCTAAGATACCTGAACCAGAGGCAACGTATGAAGATTTGGGAGAGTTGTTGAAGAAAACAAGGGCGAAAAAATTCCTCTTCCATTGACTGTGGATGAATGAAATAACTCAGATCATAAAAAAGGTTATTTTTGTAAAATAACTCATATTTCCATAAATATTTCACCATCAACCAAACATGAAATCAGTAATATTTACCTAATATTTCCGGTAATATTTTAATTAATCAAACAATTTTTTGGTAACATTTTCGAAAAACTCAATTCCCGACCATATTTTCAATAATCATAATTCCAGGATAAAAAAATATTTCTCCTGTACCAAACGCTCCCTTGATAAAATTGAAAAGTTATGTTACACGAATATAAAAAAAAATTTCTACAGATACATAGAAAACAATGACAGTTTAAAAAAAAAAAAAACACTGCGGATTCTACAAACATTGTGTCTGCGGACCCCTTTATTTTATCCATAGAATTCATTTACAGTATAGATTTAATATTTATTTATTATTTTTTCAACATGAAAATGATTGATCTTAATATAAAAAACCAAAGGACGGTTATTAACTATCAACCGTGTTTAGAAACGGTGGCGGTCATGCGAGAAAAGAAACCTGTTATATTGGAAGTACTAGCAAAGTCGCACATGTCGAGTTTCTTTCAGACAATGGTCTTCCCGAAATATTGCCGTGTCACTAAAAAAACAAAATGATTCTTACTTTAAAAAATAGAATGGAGTCACCCATCAAGTCTGGTTCTATTTGACTCGATTTAATGTGGACAAGGATTCATTGATTGATATCTATTTATTTATTTTATTTAGAATTATTAAGCAATTTATATGATATGAGAAAAGTATTTTTTTTTTGTAAATTAATATTTATATCGCAATAACTCTTCTATTAAATGATTTTAGGATTTCGCTTGACTTGGTATGGGTTTAGAGTAGGGAAAGAAAAAAAATAGACGTTTATCTCAAGCTTGGTATGCATTTATGGATAAAAATAAAAAGATTTAGAAGGTTAGGGGATAAAGAATCAAAATAGTTTGATAAGATGAGAGCAAAAGAGAGAAAAGCACATTAAGAATTGATATGGTTCGGCTACTTAAAAGCTATGTATAAAATGTATTGTATGTCCTTTCTTCTGTAATCCAAAAAAAAAAAATGTATTGTATAAGATGAGAGTAACAAACTGCAATAACTTTTCACACTCCCATTTCTAACAACCTCACAACAAATTATCGACACTTTTTACTGTAGCCAATTGTCATTCATCCATGCATTTAGGCTTCTATTTGTTACGCTTTGACCAACCATTCTATATGTCAATACCGACAACATGAAATTTCTAGTAAGAGAAAAATTCATCAACTTTCAAAATCATGAGGGTTCAAGTCCCTTATCCCCAAAATGCCTGTTCCACTCTCTAATTACTCAATATTCTTTTTTGATTTGTTATGTGTCTTATTCAGTCTATTTGGATTTGGGTGGAGTTTTTTTTTTCTTATCATAATCACAAATTTTGGAATATTGAATTCAATATATAAGATAGACGTAGAATTAGTTTTCTATGTGAGAAATTTACAAATGATTATCTTATCTTTAAGCAAGGAATCCTCATATAAATGACTAACCATACATAATCGTTACTATTATTGTATTGAAACTTATAAAGTCTTCTTTTTTTCATGTTTTTTTAGTTGACGTAGATTAAAGTAATCTAATAAAATGTGTACTAATAAAATGTGTATCCGTGAAGAATGAGATAAGAGTAATGGATTTTATTACGTTCTGTTAACTAGGATGCATCTTGAGATACATTTAATGGACGTTGTGACTGTAGGGTCACTTGACAATGATATTTATATGAAAATCCTTGTATCTATACCCCATATGGGAAAGAATAAAAATCGCAGCACATTTAGCATAAAGGTGCAAAGATCCTGTGTGATCTCAGTTTTATTTTTTAATTCTTTGTGCAAAGTTAAAAATGCCTTTGCAACTATTTTCTCTAACAACATAGAATTTTCAGTCAATATGCTTGGTTTTATAGTAGACAAGTGGATTTTTACTAAACCTTGCCACAAAATATTTTCAATTATGGTCTCAATGTCAAGTACATAACCTTTGTCAACAATGTCCTCACAATTTGTTAAGTTGCCTTTCAACTAATACCACTTGCACTATTAGTAAATATGTAACATGTATCGACTACCTTGTATCCAAAAAATATGCACAATTCAGAATCACCTAATCAACATGTTCTACTATCAAGTAAACATCAGTAGAGCTCCTTGAATATCTTATAGTCTATTCACCTTTATCAAATACTATTTCCATAGGTTCACTGCATTCACACGTCACTAAAAAAAATTTAAATTATCCACGACCATTTTTCATTACAAATGTGAAAGATTTATCGCGAATTAAATTAGTGACGAAAAACTCATTATGAAGCAACCTATGGTATCTTGGAGCAAACGTGACTCCTCCTAAGACGATCAAATCATCTCTTCATATGACTTCAATCAAAAGTGAAAGTTTGGGTTTTCGCATGTTAAATTGGTAGCCAAATCACTCATGCGCACATACTTAGACTCATAAATGCCATTGAATAAGGTAGTGGATATAAAACATTTGTAATTCCAAGGGATGGGGTTTCATGTGAGTGTGTCGTGTTCATGTTGGGTTAAGATTGGACACGTATGAAAAGTGCATTGTGCAAAAAAATGGAAGTAGAGGTAGAGAGAGGACAACCACCGGAAGAAACTAATGGAGATAAGTCTCCAAGCCTAGTTTTGGAAGGGGTGTAAGTGCAGGTTTCAGGCAATGTAATCAACACTGAGAGGAGGAAAGTCATATCCTATAAGGATAAACTGCTCCACCTAAATGGAGACGGCTATGTTTCCGAAGGAGAGGAGGAAGACTGGATGGTGACACAGAGAAGAGAGGAGGAAGAGGAAGACATGGAGGAGGACCTAGGGGAGGAAGACAATGACCCTCTATGCCCTACATATAAAATTTCTAAGAATCAACATAAAGAAGATTGTAAGCAATGGAGGAAGGCTCTAATCATAAAACTGCTAGGCAGACGAATAAGCTCGAGGTTTCTGTTAGCTAGACTTCAACGGCTATGGGGTCTAACTGGAACTTTTGAAGCAATTGATCTGGACAATGGCTACATAGTGCTACGGTTCTCGGATGATAGGGATTATATTCATGTCCTGCAAGAGGGTCCTTGGGTGGTAGCTGATCATTATCTGGTTGTCCAATGCTGGAGACCCTTGTTAAACCCATATGAAGACAATCTTAAGAAACTAGCCATCTGGATGCGCATCCCTGGTTTACCCGTTGAGTTATACTCCACGCAACACCTCTGGAAGATTGGTAACATATTTGGGAGGACCCTCAAGGTAGACAAAAACTCCATTAGGACTGCAGAAGAGGGTGATGGAGAGGTCACAGAGAAAGCTCATTTTGCTAGAATCTATGTGGAAGTAAACTTGAACAAGAGCCTACTCTCCCGATTCAAGATGGGTAATCGTACTATCCAAGTGGGATATGAGGGCCTTCACCTCATATGCTTCTCATGTGGGAAATACGAGCATAGGAAGGATCAATGCAGCCTAGCGGGGAAACCCAGTTCTACAGCAAGCTCTTCACGAAATTAGCAAAGTATGGACAAACCCTCAGTCATTGAAGCTGAGCGCAAGACTGAAGACGAAGCATTCAGAAACTAGATGGTGGTGCAGAAATATACCAAGGGCAGTTGGTTGAAAGTGGTGCCGGTGGAGGGGAAACCAGAGACGATAAAAGCGGTGACGGTGAAGGGGAAACCTGAGGTGGCGAAGCAAGGAACAACAGACAAGAGGAATGTTTCTCCAAACAGTCTGCAAAGATAGGTGGTCAGACTAGAGGAAAGCAAAACCTGTCATCAAAATGCAGAGTTTGCAGAGGCTACAGAGGATAAACAAGGAAATAAAAGGTTGGTGCAGAAAGGAGGTAAGTGACAGCAGTGGCATGCAAGTAGGGTTTAAGGAAACAAGCATGAAAAGTGAGAATAAAGGTAAACCCACTTTTGTGGGGCACCAGGCTCCAAAGAAGTCGATGGAGGGGAAAAGAGGCTTGAAAGGCCTAGGTGGAAGATCAGTGGGCCCCAACTCCATGCAGAAGTTTAAAAATAACAACAAAAAGAAACTGATACGTGGGAGGCAGATGACAAAGAACCATTTCAATATACCTGAGGTAGCGTCTTCCAAGTCTTTTAGGGAACCGATGGGAGTAGGTACTAGTCATATGCATATCACACAATGTAAGGAGCCTTGTAACAATGGGAATGACAAAGACAATTCCATGAAAGTTTTGGCTATGTTGAAATCTGGTCCAGTCTACTTAGAGGATCAGATGCTGGAGAAAAACCTCGAGATTCTAGGGGGGTCAGAATCCATACTTAGTGGTTGACCCCTTGCTTCTTGTCCTTTTATATTAGTCATTTTTTATGAATTATTATAGCTGGAATTGTAAGGGTACTGGTAAAAAAGATTTGTTCCCCTAATCCTTGATATGAAATCTAGATATAAGATTAGTGTTTTGGCTCTTTGTGAAACCAAAGTTAGTGGCCAGAGGGGTAACTCTATAATCAGAAAAATGGGTTTTAATAAGTCGTTCAAGCAAGAAGCAGTGGGGTTTAGTGGGGGCATCTGGATTATTTGGGATGACTTCAACTTATCTTTAGATATTATTAGCCATCATCACCAGTCCGTGCACACCAGAATTATACATAAAAACTCTCTGAAAATAGAGTTCATTACTTTTGTATATGCCAGTCCGAGTAGATGTGAAAGGAGAGCCTTCTGGGGAAGCCTTCGAGAGTTGACAGAGACGAGTGATGATGCCTGGAAGGTCATTGGTGACTTTAACTCAATGGTGGATGAATCTGAGAAGTTAGGGGGCAGTGACTTTTGTTGGGGAAGTGCTCAGGAATTCCAGAATTGCCTTATGGATTGTAATCTAAACGATCTTGGGTTTAAAGGACACATGTTTACTTGGAAACGGGACATATTGCATCAAAGACTAGACATAGCCTACGGTAATGAGAGATGGAACTTAGATTAGCCTCAATGTAATATCTCTCATCTCCCTTTCTATAGCTCTGACCACAGACCTGTGTTGGTGATGGAGGATCAGCCTTGAACTCAAGCTCAAGGCCTTAAGCCTTTTAAGTTTCTAGCTGCATGGCTAACAACTGAAGGCTTCGGGGAGATGGTGAAAGGGTGCTGGGGTAATAACTCCAATTGGTTGGAAGCCAGTAATCGTTTTCAAAGAGAATCTCTTGATTGGCATGAATCAGTCTTCAAAGCTACTCAAAGGGAAAAAACCGGTTACATGCTAGACTGAGAGGCATAGACCAATGTCTGAGTCACCAGTATAGTAGCAGTCTTGAAAATCTGCAAATAGAGCTATGGAGGGAATTAGAAGTTATCCTTATCCGAGAGGAAATCATGTGGTTCCAGAGATCATGATGTAACTGGTTCCAATTTGGGGACAAGAATACAAAGTACTTCCATTTGATTACTGTCTCTAGGAGGAGGAGAAATAGAATTGTTACTATTATGGATGAGGATGAGAGGTGGATCGCATATACGCAGGATCTGATAATCATGCTACGGATTTTTTCAAAACCCTTTATGCTGCAGATGAAGATAGCATGGATCTGTTTCCTATCACTAGCCTTTTTCCAACTATAGTTGATGGTGGGCTTTTGCAGCTGGATAGCTGTCCTTCGCAGGAAGAAATTAAGCGGGCGGTTTATAGCATTGGCAGCTTGAAGGCCCCTGGACTTGACGGTTTGCATGCTTTGTTTTATCAGAACCAATGGAACGTTGTAGGTCCTTCTATCTGTAGGCTGGTGCGGGATATCTTCGAGGATCCCACGAAAATTAAAGATATCAATCAAACTCTGTTGTGTTTGATTCCTAAAGTGGATAATCCAGTTAGCATGAAACAATTTCGTCCTGTCAGCCTTTGCAATGTTTCTTACAAGATCATTTCAAAAATTATTGCTCTCCGTCTGAGGAGGTTCATGCCCAAGCTTATTGGCCTTAACCAGTGCAGCTTCATACATGGGTGTAATAGCTCTGATAACATCATTATCGTACAGGAGATTGTGCATTCCATGGCTAGAAAGAGAGGACCTAAGAGGTGGATGGCTATTAAAATAGATCTGGAAAAAGCTTATGATAGGATAGATTGGAAGTTTGTCCATGATACTCTCCTAGATGCAGGGATAACTCATAATCTGATTAATCTTATAGATCAATGTGTGACTACCACTTCTATGGACCTCATTTCAAATGGCAAGACAACAAACTCGTTCCTCCCCTCTCGTGGAATTAGGCAGGGAGACCCAATCTCTCCCTATCTCTTCATGTTATGCATGGAAAGGTTAACGCATCTAATCCAAACAGCGTCGTAAGCGAAAGCTTGGAATCCCATTGTTCTTAGGAAGGATGGTCCACCCATCTCGCATCTCCTATTTATTGATGACATCCTTTTCTTTTCTGAAGCTTCCTTAGATCAGGCAAGACTAGTGAATCAGGTCCTGAAGTCATTTTGTCAAGCTTCTGGGCAGCGTGTCAGCCATTAGAAAACAAAGGTGTTCTTCTCAAAAAATGTGAACTTCAATAGAGCCCACGATATCAGCAACTGCATGGGTTTTACTATTACGGGGGATCTTGGGAAGTATCTAGGGATCCCTTTACATAGTAAAAGAGTCACAAGAAGTTCCTTTAATCACATCCTACAGCGTGTCCATTCGCGGCTAACTAGCTGGAACCAAAACTCCCTCTCCTTGGCTGGCAGAGTGACTTTAGCTAAAGCCATTTTGAATGTACTGCCAACATATTCCATGCAAATGTCTGTGTTTCCTCTCACCATCTGTGATGACATCAAAACTGCACTAGAAATTTCGTTTGGGGCTCGAATAATGAACAAAGAAAGACTCACTTAGTCAACTGGGAAACCGTCTGTAGAGTGCTGAAAGAGGGAGGATTGGGTTTGAAGGACCTGCGTTCTTTTAATAGCGCCATGATTATGAAAGTGGGATACAATATTATTACAAATAAAGACAACCTTTGGGCTAGGGTTCTAAGAAACAAATATAGAGTGAGGCCTGAGCTCATTCCATCCATTGATAGAACTGCTTGCAGTTCTAACTTGTGGATGGGAGTTTCGAAGCTCTGGAGTAAGGTGGAAGGAGGTTCGAGGATCCTTTTAGGTGATGGGCACTCTTCTAAATTCTGGATGGACAATTGGTTACCCTCTGGAAAACTTCTAAACTATACTGTCAATCAAGTGCCAGATGTCATGCTAGAAGAGAAGGTTGCAGATTACGTGGATATTAATGGCAACTGGAATTGGAATCTTTTCCACCAATTTATTTCTGAGAAGGGCATGAATTATATTGCGGGGGTCTTGCCACAAGATCCACATGGGGGGAAGACAAAGTCATATGGACTTATTCAAATGATGGCAAATTTACCATCAAATCTGCTTACCACTCACCAACGAATCCCAATTGAGTGCTGTTGATTGGAACTTGGCTTAGAGGAGGAACGTGTAAGAACCCGCACCGTCAATTTAGGAATTTAATTAATTAATTAGGAAATTAATGAGATAATTCCATAATTGACCCTAATAATAATGAGAAGGCTTAATTAATCACATCGATGAAGTATCCCGGAAAATTATGAAAAGTGTGTATATATTATTAGAATAATATATAGGACTAGTATAACAGGTTTCAAGTCAAAATAATGAAAACTGATGTCAGAACTGATACTAGCTAAGTAAAAGCGTGTACCGGCAAAGTGCTGCGAAAAATAAAATAAAAATATGACAAATCCTAGAAAAATAGCTAGGTTCAGAATCCAAAGTTTGGGATTGAAACGCTAAGCGTAGCTGTTAGTGCTAATACACTGCAATTAAAGCTTAAGTGGGCTGTATAAGGCCTAGGCACATGATCCTAGGTCAGAAACTTAGTATCCCTACGTGAGAATTTTTGAAGTTTTGGAGCAGCCACCCTTGCCACCCCTTCCTCTCCACTTTGTGAGCCAAGAGGCCACATTTCCTCTTGGTTTCTTCACCAAATCTCCTAGTGTGAGTGTGCTTTGGGCTTGAGAGAGTGTAAGGTGCTTTCTTTTTTGAGTTTGGTCTCTGGTTGGTGAGGTTATTGGGGTTGATTTCTTGGTGGGAGTTATGAGAGCCATTGTGATGGCATTTGAAGCTTCAAGGAGTGATCTTTGAAGAGAAAGGACTCTTCTTGGTGTGCCATTTCCGTGCATATTGAAGTCAGAACCATGGGAGCTGCATAGGGAGCTCCAATAGCATTCCTTTTTCTGTTTTGAACTATTGGTATGCATCACCACCTTTGTCTTTGAGTTTTCTTTAGAAAGAATGGACCTTGATGCATGTAACAAGTTAAATTTAATAACTTAATAGTGGATAAAGTTAAACATACCTAGAAATGCATGTTTAAGCTTCTGAAATCGTTAAAAGAACAACCTTTGGGTGATATCTTCGCAAAAACGCAGAACTGCATTCTATCGCGAAATATCCGGATATTGATACCTGGATATGATATTCGGATATTGATATCTGGATATGGGGTTTT